GAATTTAATTATAATTCAATTCAATTAATATTATATATTGTGTATAAACAATGATTTATAGTCATATATGTTAAATAAATAATACTATTCAATAATGAAATGAAAGTAGGTAATCCATATCATCGATTTTCGTAATAATATTATTTATTATTTAATAATATTAGTTATACATTTAATTAAATGTTAATTTACGTTTTAAATAAGTCAAGTTTTTTGGAAATTAAAATTTTTTTTAGAATAAATTACATTTTTTAATAAATTAAAATTTTTTTTAAAATAAATTTAAATTGTTAACTATTATTTTAAATTTAATGTCCTAATTAAATTTTAACTTATTTTCTTACTTTTAATTTCTATATCTACTCTTGTCACATTCAAGATATTTTAATATTTTTTTTATCGATTATTATTAATAATTAGAAATAGTTCCTTTTTCCTAATACTAAAAATATATCCTATACAATTCATGCAAATATATATAATTAAATTTAACCTTTTATTTTTAAGTGAAAAACTATAAGTTTTGAAAATAGAAAAGTTAAATCTATACAAGAACATATAAAAAAATTTATAAATAAAAATTCCAACAAATAAATATTAAAATTATTTATAATGTTATTAATAATTATAAATAATCAAAATATAGTATTTTATCAATATAAATAAGTAAATAAAAAAGATAAATATTTTTTTATATACCGTATATTATACAAATATATTTTGTTTCATTATTTATGCTAATAATTAATGACCAATTTCAACTGTTAAAAAGTAAAATAAAAAAAAGATTATTGTTTCAACCTGATACAGTTATTTTAATAATAAAATTATAAAACTAATTTCGTGAATAATAATTTCAAAAATTAATTTTCTCTATAGTGATTAACAATTAATTAATACCTAACTAAATTTTAAAATTAACAAAATTAAGAGCGAAATTAATTTTAGTGTGAAATTAAAAAAATTTATTATGACAATCAATCTGAAAGCAGAAATATAAAATATAATTTATAAAGATTTTCTATATAACGAATACATGAAAAGCACATAAAAATGTAACTTTTGCAACAGTCCATTCTCATTTTCGCACCTGAAAGAGGAGGATAAGAAAGAAAAAAAAGAGAAAGAAAAATTTCTGTCACGCATAATTCAAACAAGATTTCGAAATAGTTCACGTTCGTGTATAGGGAAAGAAGCCAAAGTATATAGAAGAAATAAAGAACACTTGGTGCAACCGAAGCTGGTTTTAGAGCATTAAATTTTAAAAGAGAGCACACACTAGGTTCAACTTCCTATTGCTTCTCCTCTTTTTTTAAAAAACTATATCAAGAAACTGGAAGGAAAAGTGTGAAATGGAGCAAATGTTATTTAAGAATTATATCATCTCCACCGAACACTTTAGGAATTTAAGTACATCGAACATTTATCTACATTATACACACGACTTTAAAACTCATTTTCCCAGAGAAACCACATTTTTTATAATTCTAGTTTCATACTTAATGAATAATAATTCTTCTTTTCCACTTTTTTTTTCACAAAAAAGAAAATGCCCCCCATTTAATGTTGTACAGTACTTTCTTTAATCAATTATTAATTTATTAAAACAGCGATGATACTAAATTTTAATCTCTCTTTGCAATTTTTAACTAGTTCCCACATGGCAATTGCTGCAAGATTCAAATGTATAAGATTGCTACAAATAATTTTATTATATAGTAAAATATTATATGTTAATACCATTTTATGCATAAAATAAAATTTTTAGCCGCATGTTTGACGTAAACTTGCAGTAATTTTGCGGTAAGCTTGATGCACGATTAAATGCAATCTGAGTTGACAAATTACCTTCGTTACAGAAATATATGTAGATAATTTTTAAGATATATTAAGTTTACGAATAAAAAATAGAGTAAAGTACGGATATTTCTTACACATTTTGAAAATTGTATCTAAATTCAATAATTACTGATATTTTCAAGCAGTTTTTTGATTTTTTAAAACACAAATTTTTCTTTATTCTTAACTTTATTTAATGGACAGTTACTTTTGATAAATATTCAATTAATGAGAATGAAAATACGAAAGATATGTATTGGGCCATCTTCACAGTAAAAAGAAAATCTTATTTTAACAGCTTGTGACTGTTACAGAAATCAATGTTAATTTTTTCGACCACTTTTCTCTTAAAATATTAAATAAATTAAGCTAGTTTTTTGTGAATAACTCTAAAATATCATAAAGAAGGGCAGTGATGTGAAAAAGTTTTAATATTTTTAAAATTATTTATTAAAAAATAACTTTAAAATTACCAGTTCTCAAAATCACTTTTAATCAATTTCTTGCCTTTTCCGATTTCAAAGTATTTTTTATAATTTATTTTAGAATTATTAAAACTTTTGCACATCACTGCTCTTCTTTATTATATTTCAGAGTTATTCACAAAAAACTAGCTTAATTTATTTAATATTTTAAGAGAAAAATGGTCGAAAAAATTAACATTGATTTCTGTAACAGTCACATGCTGTTAAGGCACGAAAGCTGCCTTAAATTAAGATGCAACATTTTTAAGACAGTCAATGTTGAATTTACGCACGTTTTTCGTATCCTTTAATATTATAGCAGACAGTGTTGAATTTAAGGCAGCTCTTAAATTAAGATTTACTTTTTACTGTGTTTTAAAAATTATTTGATTCAAGTTTGAATTACATAATTTCCAGTCTTGGTTGCAACATTATTTGCTTGATTTAATTATATCATTTTTTTATTTAAATAATTTTAATTTGATGTAAATTACGAGACGCATGACTACTCCCGAAATATTATTTGACATATAATAATCATTTGACATAAAACCATTTAACATAAATTTCATTTGACATAAAGTCTATGTGGTATAAAAAATATTTAATTTGAAATTCATTTGACATACATTTCATTATAGGTATACAATATTTATATTGCATAAATGGCATTTAATATGATATCCATTTGACATATATTTCATTAGACATAAAATTTATATAACATATAATTATGTAATTTGACATAGAATTAATTCAACGTATATTTTATTTGACATAAAACTCATTTAGCATAATTTCCATTTAAGGTAAAAATACACTTGACATGACTTTTTTTACATAAAAATCAAAATATGTCATTTGACATAATATACATTTGATAAAAAAAATAAATTACATATAGTCATAAATTTGACTTAACATACATTTCATTTGGTATAAATCTCATTTAATATAATTCTCATTTAACATAAAAGACATTTAACATAATTCTCATTTGACATAAGTCATTTGACATAAATTTCATTTGACATAAAAGATAAAAGTCATTCAACAAAATTCTCATTTGACATAAAATTTATTTTATACAAAAAGATTGTGATTATAGTCAATTTTAAAATTCGCGCCTACATTTTTATGTCAAATGATCTTTATGTAAAATGAAATATATGTCAACTGAATTTTATGAAAAAATGAGAATTTTGTTGAATGACTTTTATGTCAAATGAAATTTGTGTCAAGTAAATTTTATGTGAAATGAGAAACATGATAAATGACTTATTTGTCAAATTAAATTTATGTTAAGTGAATTTTATGTCAAATAAGAATTACGTTAAATGGCATTTATGACAAATGAAATTTATATCAAGTGAATTTTATGTTAAATGAGAAGTATGTTAAATGATATAGTCAAATGAAATTTATGTCAAGTGAATTTGATGTCAAATGAGAATTTTGTTATAGAATTTTATGTCAAATGAGAATTATGTTAAATGACTTTTGTGCCAAATGAAATTGATGTCAAATGAATTTTATAACAAATAAAATGTATACGTTAAATGAATTTTATTTCAAAAGAAATTTATGTTAAATTATTATGTCAAATGGGAATTATGTTATATTAGTTTTATGTAACATAAAATTTGTGTTAAATGAATTTTATAACAAATGATATTTATGTCAAATGGATTTTGTGTGCAATGAAATTTATGACAAATAATGTTCATATTATTTGAAATTTAAGTTAAGTTTCGGCCCTTGTCCACGAAACCCTAATAAATAATGCATTTAGATGATTTAAATATTTATTTAGTTCAAATATAGATTTAACAGATAATAGAATAAAACGTAAATCACTTTTGATTTGATCAATAATTAAATTTTATGTGATCCAAAAAAATTTTGTTTAGTGTAACAAAGACCACCTATATATATTCGTACTTTACCCGTTTTGTATCATCACTACACTAAATTGAAAATAATTAGCTAATACATTAAAAAAATTAAATTTTTAAAAATAATTTTAAATTAAAAAATTGCCTAAGAAGTTTTAAAAAATTTGTTAAGGATAAAAAATATATACAATATTTATATAAAAAATAGAGAGAAGAGAGTTATAAAAGAAGAAGAAAATGCTTTATACTTATGCAATTTAAAATTAAGAAGTGATTTAATAAACTATGAAACTTGCTTGCGTGACTTTGAAAAGAATAATTATTGGAATAGTATTATTTTAAAACACTTTATCTCTCCAGTTCTCGAATCGAGGAGATTCTGCGTGTAATTTTCATGCGACATTGAGAAGTAGAAGAAAAATAAAAAGAATGAAAACCACCGACTTTAAAAAATCTTCATTCAGAAGTTTTTAATTTAATGGAAAAAATATTGTTTACTTTAAATGATTTATTATAGAAATCTTTTTTATTAACAATTGTTTAACAATGCATAACGCAGTTATTATGCATTCTGTTATTGATTAAATTTATAAATAAATAAATTTAATCAATTTAAAAAATTTGTTTCTATTTTGTCATTGATTCTATTGTGATTAAATTAATGAATTTATGAAATAAAATTCTTTTTTTGGATTTTTGTTTTCATTCTGTTATAGATTAAATTTCGTTTGTCGGTGGTTTTACTGAATTTTTAATCCTTTTTTTTTGTTGTTGTATTGTTTTGCGACACTACGCTGGTTACCTGACTGCGCATCTGGTACAGCGGAACAAACAAGAAATACACCGCAGTCACTAACTTGCTCTCACTCATTTCAATAAAATTGATGATCTTCTCGAAAAAAAGAAAAATTCACCAAAACATTTTGAATTCATAATTTTAAAATATTTTTGTTTTTACAATTCTTTTGAAATTTTTTTTCAGAAAAATTATTAATAAAAAGCATCATGTCACGAAAAAAATAAAAATTTTAATGGGAAAAATCAGTTAATAATAATAATTTACTAACTGAATATAAATAATAATTTTTAATAAATTTTTATTTTCATTGTTAATTTTTATTAAAAGTATGGTAAAAGTTTGATTTAAAAAACTATTTAAAATTATAATCAAAATTGATTGAAATGTTCAGAAAAGTTGATGAAAATTTTAGAATCTCAAACGATTTTATTCTAATTTTTTGAAATAAAAGTAAAATGAAAGTTGAAAGTAGAGAAAATTGAAAATTTTAATTAAAAAAAAAATTCTTCTGGAAGTAATTTTCATTGAACAGAATAAATATTGTTATAAAAGCAATTTAATTTCTTTTTCGAGAAGATCCTTGAATATATTATTTTATATAATAAAATGATAAGAATGATAAAAAATTTCCCTTCCTCGACTTTTTTTTCTTATTATTACTAGAATTAAAAGCTTCCTTTATTCCTTTTATTATTATAATAATAGAGAATTTGTTAAACTTTATAATTTATATTAAAAACTTTGTCGAGAAAGTGAAATCAGATAGAATTTAAAAACTGCAGCATTAACTTAGATTTATCTGTTTATGACATATTTGTTTTTAAAATGAAATTAGAAATGTTTTTCAAAAGTTCTTTAATTACGCTTTTCAAATTCTGAATTCCATTTCCTTTTTCATTTTAAAATGTTTTTCTTTTTGAATTAAAAATTAATTCAATTTTCGACAAAAGAGAGGTGAACTCGCTTTATTTAATTAAAAACTATTTTAAATTGAAAATTAAAAACTATTAAATTAATTATTTGCGAGTTCTTTACTTAGAAATGTAGTGCAAACATTTTAATTTTTTTTTTTATTCTTTTAGAATATCTGACAAAATATTAATTTTTATCATTAAAGGGAAATTCGGTTATTTTCAAAAATTCCTCATAAAAAAAGGAATAAATTAACTTTTACTATTTATATGGTAAAATCTCAACTATCAAGAATTTCTGTTCATATTTGACATTTTTTTTCTATTTTCGGAAGAGTAAATTTAGCAAAAATTATAGTAAAATTTACTTATTCCGAAAATAGTGTAAACTTTGAGAAATAATTCCAAGAAATTTAAAATAGTTTATAGGTTTTACTATAAAAGTATGATAAAAGTTACTTTATAGTTTTTTTTCTATGTAAAATTTAAGTAGAGTATTCGAGTAATTCCACGTGAAACGATCGAGTGGAAATTTTAATTTTCTCTAATTGGATGAAACTCTGATTAAATTGCTAGCTGTTTTATATAAAATTAATACAATTCTAAAATGTTAACTCTCTTGAAAATAAATTGTATAAATTATCGGGATTGCAGTTATAGAAATAATCAGTTTTAAAGCATTGCTTGTGTAATTTTTTGAATGACAAAAATATTTATAACTTATATTTGCTATTTATTTATATTTGTTCAATTTCTTATTTTTTTCAATGCAGATATTTATTTTACTTCTTATTTGTCTATTTTTATTTATTTTCTATTTATAAACTTTCTCTAAAATTTTTAATTTTTTTGACATTTTCATTGGAAACCTAAGATTTTCTCAAAAAAAAAAAAAATTGTATCTGTTTTTTCAAAGAAAGATTTTTGGTATTGAAAAGTACACAAAAAATGCTTTAAAGTTCTCTGTATAAAAAAATTAAAAACCCTTAATTTTTGTCAAAATAATTACAGGGTTGCCAAAAATTTTAAATTCTATCATTATTTTATATTGTAAAAATATTGTTACTGTAATTTCTTCAAAATTATTTTCATTTCAATTCAATTATTCATTTCTAGAATTTTAAACTAAAATTCTTTTTTAAAACAATTTTTTAAAATAATTTTTGAAAAAGTTCTTTTTTGAGAATTTTTAAATCCATTTGTTTACAATTCAATTTTACCTAAACTTTCGATTATTCTGACATTCTTCAATTAAATAAATTAAAAATTAAAAACTTTAAATAATTAAAAAAAAAAATCCATTAAACTTTTCGAGAAAAATTAATTCAAAATTTCCTTAAAAATCTTGTCAAGAATTTAATTATTTTTATAGATAATAAAATCATACCCAGGAATTAAATTATTCTCAAAAAATTTAAATAAAATTCTTCGAAATAATTCAATTATTTTTAAAACTGACAAAATTCTTCGCAAGAATTCAATTATTTTCAAAATTGATAAAATTCTCAGCAAGAATTCAATTATTTTTAAAAATGATAAAATTCTTCGTAAATATTCAATTATTTTCAATATTAATTTTTACGTAATTTTGATTATTCTGACATTCTTCAATTAAATATATATTAGAAAATAAAAACTTCAAGAATTAAAGAAAAATTTAATTAAACTTTTTTAAAAAATAAATTCTACAGAATTGTTAATTAAAAGTATGAAAAGTTCAAATTTTCTAAAAGATTTTAATTTAAGACATTTTCAAAATTCAATTATTTAAATACAAAAATAAATATTTTATTAAATAATTGAATGTTTCTTAAAATTGAATTTTTTTAAAGACTTTTATCAACAAATTTTTAAATAATTGAATTCTCTTGAAAAATTTTAATAAAATTTTTAAGAATAAGTTTATTTTTAGGAAATTTGATTAAAATTTTATTAAAAAATAATTGAATTTCTCCACAGAGAAAAGAGTTTTTGAAACTTTTTTTTTTAATAAGAGTTTTTGAAAATAATTGACATTTTGCCAAGAATTTTATTAAAGTTTTTGAAAATATTTGAATTTCGGAGAAAAATTTATAAAGATTATTGAAATTTTGACGAGAATTTTTGTAAATTGTTGAACACAATTAAATTTCTGCGAAGAATTATATTACTTTTGAAAATAATTGAATTCTTGAGACGAACTTTATTAAAATGTCTTTTTAAATAATTGAATTTCTTTGATGAAATTTAATAAAATTTTTAAGAATAATTTCATTTTTCGTGGAATTTCATTAAAATTGTATTAAAAGTAATTGAAAGTCTGAGATAAGTTTGATTATTTATGAAAATAATGAAATGTTTGCGTAGAATTAACAAATTTTTTTTTAAATAATTGAATTCTTTTGAAAAATTTTATTAAAGTAGTAGATTGATTAAAAATCATTGAAAAATTATATTAAAATTCATCAAATAAATTCAATTATTTTCAAAAGTAATAAAATTCTTCGCAGAAATTCAATTATGGTCAAAAGTTAAAAAAATTTATCGTCAAAATTTCAATTATCTTTATAAATATTAAAATTTATCACCAAAATTCAATTATTTTCAAAAATTTTAATGAAATTCTTTTTAACAAATTCAATTTTTTTTCAAAAATTCTCCTCCAGTCAATGATTTTCAATATCTACTACCTATTTTAATAAAATTTTCCAAAAGAAATGAATTATTTTAAAAATTTTTTATAAATTTCTTCGCAATAATTCTATTATTTTCAAAAATATTCAATTTATGTTTACAGAGATTCAATTATTTTTATAATTATGTAATACAATTTTTTTACAGGGATTAAATTATTATTTTCGTAGATAATAAAACTCTTTGCAGAATTTCATTTATTCTCGTCAATTATTTTTCGTCAAAATAATGCAATTATTTGCAAATTTGTTAATAAAATTCTTTATGAGAATTCAATTTTGAGAAACATTCAATTATTCAATAAATTATTTATTTTTGTATTAAAAATTTAAAAATAATTAGGTACATTTAAAAAGAAATATTATTAAAAAATTCGTCTCAAGAATTCAATTATTTTAAAAAGTAATAAAATTCTTATTAGAAATTCAATTATGGTCAAAAATTTAAACAAATTTATAGTCTAAATTTCAATTATTTTTACAAAAATATTGAAATTTTTCTCTAAAATTCAATTATTTTCAAAAATTTTAATAAAATTCTTGGCAATATTTCAATTATTTAACAAAATTTTAATAAAATTCTTGACAAAATTTCAATTATTGTCAAAAACTTTTCTCAATTTAATCAAATTTTTCACAGTGATTCAATTATTTTTAATACATTTTCAATCTAATTTCTCGAAAAATGAAATTATTCTTAAAAATTTGATTGACATTCGTCAAAAGAATTTTAATTACCTATTTAAAAATTTGTTGATAAAATTCTTTAAAGGAGAGTTGAATTTTAAAAAACATTCAATTCTTCAATAAATTATTTTTTTTTGTATTTGAACAATTGAATTGTCGTAGAATATTCTAATAATAATTAATTGAAATATGAATTTCAGTTGAAACTTTAGATAATAATTGAGTTTTGAAAGGCAGGTCTCAAATTCTGCTGTACAAAGTTAAAACCTAGTAACCACTTTTTTCGTAAGGTCGTGTTTTGTTTATAAATCTAAGTGAACTTCGACCATATGAAAAAAGCAGTTACTAGGTTTTTAATTTGGACAGCAGAATTATAATCTTTGAATTTTTGAATTTTTCATACTTTTAACTTAAAATTGTGTAGATTTAATTTTTTTCTAAAAGTTGAATTGAATTTTTTTGAAGTTATTTAAGGGCATTTGAACCATTATGACGTCACAATTTGTGCAAAGCACGTGTTCTAAAATTGTGACGTCATAATGGTTCAAATACCCTTAAAGTTTTTATTTTCTAATATATATTTGATTGAAGAATTTCCGAATACCTGAATAATCGATGAAATTTCGTAAAATTCAATTGTAAACAAAAGGATTTGAAAATGTTAAAAGAAATTTTTCAGAAATTATTAATAAAAGCGTGCCAACCCTGAATTAAAATCTTTTGAAATTCATCTGTACTTATGAAAATTGTAAACGCAACTTTTTTAAAATTTAATTAATTTTGAAATATTTATGTAAAATTAGATTTCAAGAATAAACTTTAGAAAATAACAATTTTTTAGGATTTCGATCAAAAAAATTCCCTGACATTTCCAGGTTTCCAGGTTACGTGGCAACCCTGAATTATTATACGAATCTGAATATAACAATGTCCCTAAACATCCTAATGTTTCGACTTAATCAGAACACATGTAATTATACTCAAATAATAAAAAACCGATTTTCTCTTTAAATATAAATAAATACACATTATCTCAAAGACACTTCTAAGCTGCTTTTTTTGTTAAAATATTGTAAAGAAAATGTGAAAAAAGAAAATTGAATATTTCAAAGGACTTACCGGCGTCTTTTCCACCTTTAACACATATTCCAAAACCGTGATGTGATTCTGGAGGTTCACGTGTCATTGTCACTGTTCTTACAGTGAGCTCCTGTAAACTTAGAGCCTGTGGTCCTGGGGGAGTTTGAGGACTTTGAGCATTTTGCTGCTGTTGTTGCTGCTGTTGCTGCTGAGACGACGAGGATGAACTCCTGAGTGCTGACACACTCGCTGGACTCGATGCTGGCGTTCTTTTATCACCTTTTCGTCTATCGGAAGAGAGTCCATTGCCGCCAAAGAGTCTGGAAGCAATTTTTTCAAATCATTTCTTTTGCTTTTTGACTGAAGGGACTCAATTTTCACGAGGCAAAAATGAAGAGTGAATTTCAAAAAGGTAATTTTTTAATTTCAAGAGCGAATATTTAGAATATCAATCAGCACGAAATAGTAATAAATAAACAAATTTAATTAATTTCTTATTCATATTTTTTCGTTAATTATATATATTTTTCCCAATTGTTTATAAATATGATAAAACAGAAAATTTTTACTGCATTATATTTTATTGATTCTAATTAATTTTTACTTTTTACATTAGAAACGAAAAAGAATTTCACTCAATCATACTCTGAAAATTGAGCCACTTCAATCAAAATGGATAAATGCTCTAAAAGAGTGAAAATGCAGATTTCGATTGAGTAGATTTTTTTTTTATTTTAAAAGAGGAATGAAAATCTAATTAACTTATTTTTACACAAAAAATAAAACGAACTCATAAAAAATAATTAATTTACCTTCAAATCGAATTAATTTTCACTCTTTTAGAGCGAATTTGTCGCTCTTATTGAAGTGGAATAAATTCCACTCCAAGAAGAGTGAACTCATTTCAAGGAATGTAGAAAATATAACAATATTTCTTCTTTATCTTAAATTCCTTGAAATGAGAATATTTTTGAAATTTTTTTTTTTTCTTAAGAATAATGTTAATTAAGTAACTATCTCTTATTTTTCCAATATAGGAAAGTTTGTTTGAAACTATTTTTACGTTAATATTTATTAATTTTAAAAATTGTTATGACAAATAAGAAAATAAAAAGAATAAAATTCAAAAAGTTTTTTGAAATTATAAATTTTTTTAAATTTAAATTCCTCTAAATTTTGAGAAATTAAATTTAAAAAAATATTTATTTCTCTTTTTTGGAATCTTTTTCTTATTATGCTTTAAAAAAAACTAAAAAGATTTTAGAAATTAAGGGGAGGTTCAACTGAATTTAAGATTTCTTTCAGAGATTTTTTTCTATAGTAAAAAAATATTTATTACTTAACATTTTTTTATAATAAAATGCAATTATTAAAGTAATCAAAAAAAAATTTTTTTTTCGAGTACTTTAAGACTTGTATTTTATTACCTACATAAAATTTTGTAATAAATATTCTTTTTACTATAAAATATGATATGAAAAAAACCTAAAATTCAGTGGAAACTCCCCTTAATTTAAAAAAAAATTCATTTTTTTTACATATCGCTTCGAAAAAAAATAGAAATGGAAAAAAATGTTTCTATTTAAAGATAAACGTATAAATGTTTTTTTTTTCTTAAATCTAAAAAAACCAAATTGAAAACAGGTTCTTCCTGTTTCGTTTTATGTTATAGAGCCTGTTTACACCGCGTCGCATAAATGTATTCCTCCGCGCGCATAAACGTATATTCCTCCAGGAGAATAAACTCGCGTCTGCGCAAAGTGCTTCCCAGCTGTGTTGTGAAGAGTTGGAAACCGCTGGGAAGCACTTTGCGCAGACGCGAGTTTATTCTCCTGGAGGAATATACGTTTATGCGCGCGGAGGAATACATTTATGCGACGCGGTGTAAACAGGCTCATAGTGTCTATACTAAAATGTGAAAATTGTCTAAGCAAATGGTGCAAAATAAAACAGAATTAAAAGAACGAATCTTATGTTCGTTGACTTTTTTTTTATTGACATTCGTTTCTTGGTGTATATATATATATATATATATATATATATATATATATATATATATATATATATATATATATATAGAATGTAATATTTCTTTTCCCGTCATCCTTGTCCCTTTGTGACTTCAGTCTGAGTGCATTGAGAGCTTCCAGGATGTAAACAGGGAAAAGGAAAATAAATCTGATTTCTCTAACTTTTTTTTACCACAATTTTTTTATTCTTCGTAGTTTATGTTCTTTCTTTCATATATAAAATAATACCAAGTAATATATTATATTTTCAAAATATTTTTTTCTACTGATCAGAAAAGTAAATCAAAAACTTTTATTATTCTTATTATTTATTTTATTTATTTAAATCAATTTCAAAGCATACGGGACTTTTTCAAAAATGAAACTTTCTTTTTATTTAAAACTCAGAATTACTATTTATATTAAAAGAAAAAATGAAAAAATAAAATAAAAACCAGGAACAAAAAACAATTTTTACAATTATTAAAAATAATTTTTTCAAGCAATAAATAACTTCTCAAAATGCGAAACAAAATAACTATTAAAAATATAATCCATAAGAGTGAAAAAAATAAATACCTACATTTTTTTGGTATTTTAGAATAAGTTTTTCTTTAAAAAATTGAAGAACAAGAAAAAAAATATAGTAGAAGAATAGAGACTCATGGGCTAATGGTTAGCACTCTCGATTCGTGTTCCGAAATTCGAGGGTTCAAATCCTGGCGGTAATAGACTTTTTCACGGTAAAAATCAATTTAATAAAAAATAACCAAATAGAATGTTAAATAAATAATAGAGAAAATAAATGAATTACGAATAGAAAGAGTAATTGAAAAGAAATAAATAGATAAAATGAATAAATAAATAAGTAAATAGAAAATAGAAGAAATAATAAATAAACAAATAAATAGAAAACGGAATAAATAATTGAAATAGGAGAAAAAATGAAGGAACCAATAAATCGCAAATAGAAAAAATAATTAAAAAGAAATATAAATACAAAAATAAGAAATTTTAGAAATAAATAAGTAGAAAATAGAAAAAATAATTGAAAAGAAATAAATAGAAGAATTAAGGAATAAAAATAATAATTAAAAAGAAATAATTAAATAGAAAGAAAGAAGAGGGGAATATAAGAAATAAACGAAATATAAATAAATAACAGGACTCAAACTAAATAAAAAAAATTAAATTAAACTTTTTCAAAAAAATTAATTTCAAAATTTAATTATTTTTAAAAGTTCAGGCTATATTGCTTTTAGTATTCAATTATTATCTAAGATTTCAACTGAAATTCATTTTTAAATCAATTTTTATTAGAAAATTCTACTAGGATTTGAATTGAATCCTATAAACCCAGGTGCGAAAAGTTGGTCGGGCCATGGTCGCGCCGACCAAGTGGATAGTCGTGCCGACCTTGGCAGCCAAAGGTCGGCCGAACTAGTGAATTGTAACACCCGCCGTCCAGTGGCTAACATGGTCGGGCCGACCATGGTTGCCAAAGTCGGGCCGACCAGGGGTGCCAAAGTTTTCCCGACCATGAGAAAGAAGGTCGGCTTCATTTTGGCAACCATGGTCGTGCCGACCTTGGCAGCCAAAGGTCGGCCGAACTAGCGAATTGTAACACCCGCCGTCCAGTGGCTGACATGGTCGGGCCGACTATGGCTGCCAAAGTTGGGCCGACCAGGGGTGCCAAAGTTTTCCCGACCATGAGAAAGAAGGTCGGCTTCATTTTGGCAACCATGGTCGTGCCGACCTTGGCAGCCAATAGTCGGCCGACCGTTTGCAAAAAATTATTAACTTTACAATTAACAGATATTAAGTGATATCTTAATATTCATTATTTATTTATTTATTTATCGCATTCATCTTAACACTAGACGCAATCTTATACATAAATACAAATTAAAATTTCTAACGCTCGCAGGGATCGAACTCGCAACCTAACGCACCGAAGTCTAACACGCTAACCATTACGCTACGCTTACATGAAAGCCTAAGAACAAAAATGAATTTATAAGCTGCAATTTAAAAAAAGAAATTTGTAATTCATAACGATTAATAAATCAGATAACGTTTATTAGTTTTTGTTTAATCCATTTTAGCTAAAATAATTAACACAAAAACTTTTAATTTCTACCATGGCAGTATAGAAATGTTTTTTAAGATGGTCGGGCCAACCGTGGCCAGAGTCGGCCCGACCAACAGAAATTAGGTTTTTTACACTCTGGCTGCCATAGTTTTACCGACCATCGGCCCGACTCAGGCCAGAGTCGGCCCGACCAACAGAAATTAGGTTTTTTTCACTCTGGCTGCCATAGTTTTACCGACCATCGGCCCGACTCAGGCCAGAGTCGGCCCGACCAACTAAAATTAGGTTCTCTAAACTCTGGCACCCATAGTCGGCCCAACCTTGGGTGGAAACAGTAACCAAAGTCGGCCCGACTTTGGCTGCCGACCTATTGGCAGCCATAGATGGGCCGACCTGGGCCCGACCTGCCAACTCTGGCGGCCGACCAAAATTCGCACCTGGGAAGAATTTTATCAACAAATTTTTAAAGAATTGAATTCTTTTGGCAAATTTTAATAAAATTTTCAAGAATAATTACATTTTTCGAGAAATTCTATTAAAATTGTATTAAAAATAATTGAATTTCTGCAATAAATTGTAACTTTTCTAAAATTAATTTTTTTTTGTGTTTTTAACTAAAAATTTTCTATAAATGCATTATTTTTAATAATTTTTGAAAAAGTTCTTTAAGAATTTCCAAATTCATTTGTTTACAATTAAATTTTACAAAATTTAAATTATTCGTAAATTCTTCAATTAAATAGGTATATATATATATATATATATATATATATATATATATATATATTAAAAATAAAAACTTCAAATAATTTTTAAAAAATCTGCAATAAAACTTTTTCAAAAAGATAAATTCCACAAAATTGTTAGTTTATAATATGAAAAATTCAGATTTTTAAAGATTTTAATTTAAAACCTTTTCAAAATTCAATTATTTTTAAAAATTAACGCTCTAATGCTTTTAATATTTAATTATAATCTAAAATTTAAATTGAAATATATTTTTGAATCAATTTTTATTAGAAAATTTTACTAGAATTCAATTATTTAAATACAAAAAAATCAATTTAATGAATAATTGCATGTTTCTCACAATTTGATTCTCATAAAGAATGTTATGAATAAATTTTTAAATAATTGAATTCTTTTAAACGAATTTCAATATAATTTTTAAAAATAATTACTACATTTTTCGAGGAATTCGATTAATATTGTATTGAAAATATAATTAAAATTCTGCAATGAGTTTTATTATTTATGAAAATAATTGATTTTCTAAAAAGAATTTTATTTTTTTCGAAAATAATAATTGAATCCCTGTAAAAATATTATTATTTGTGAAAATAATTAAATGGTTGCTAATATATTTATAAAAAATTTGTAAATAATTAAATTCATGTGAATTTTTTTTTATTTTATGAAAATAATTAAAGGTTTGCGTAGAATTTTATTAAATTTTTTTTAAATAATTGAATTCTTTTGGAAAATTTTATTATAATAGCAGGTATTAAAAATCATCGAATTGAAGAAAATTTTCGTAAAATAATTTAAATTTTTTGAATTTTATTAAAATTTTTGAAATAATAGTTGAATTTTGGAGAAGAATTTAATTATTTCTAAAGGTAATTAAAATTTTGAAGAGAACTTTTTAAAATTTTTGAATATAGTTGAATTTCTGCAAAGAATTTTTATTTATTTATTTTATTTTTTACGAAAATAATTGTATCCTTGTAAAAATATTATTTTTTTCGAAAATAATTGAAATTTTACCTAAAATTTTTGAAATAATAATTGAATTTTGAGAAGAATTTAATTATGTCTAAGAATAATTGAAATTTTGAAGAGAATTTAAAAAAATTTTTGAACATAGTTGAATTTCTGCGAATTATTTTGAAAATAATTGAATTTCTGCAATCATTTGTAATTTCTCTAAAATTTTCCAAACTATATCGTTGAATTTACGAAATTTTCGTCTTTTCTCAATCAAATTACGGACTTTACGGACCTTTTTACAAAAAAACTGACTTTTACGGACTTTGAAGTAAATTTACTGACCTAGTTCGAGCCCTGATAAATAATAAGCAGTAAACAAAAATCAACAAGAGATAAAATAAACAGAAGATTGGGTTACAAAAGTGCCAAGAAATATTTCCAAAATTTAAAAGTTTAAAAATTCATAAATAGACGAAATTATTAAAAAAAAAAAATAAAATTATAATAAAATATTTAGACATCAAGGATCTTGAATTTCAGAATATTTCTCTCGTCACTAATAAAATTGACTGTTTTAAATGTAATAATCCTTGAAAAAATTTGCATAATTAAAATCCAAGTTCTTTCTCGAAGAAGAAAAAAAAGTAAAAAAAGTAGGCAAAATAAAAATGAAAGAAAAAGCAATAAAATAAAGTTTCCACACATTCTTGATAATCTTTTAGAATTCTAAAATCGCCGAGCATTGATAAATAGCGGCTTAATTATAGTTTACCTAATGACTTGTTCAGGCGAAATGGGTCCTGTTCCCGAAGCATGTCCACGATGCCGATAAGGGGTGGTATGAGAGGAATGATGTTGGGGGGCACTGGGTGGCCTTTCAACAATTGTATAGCTCGTTCCAGGTGGACTATAGTATCCTCGATGTTGGCTGGTGTGATGTCTACTCGTCGGTTCCAAGTCCTCGGCCTCGTAACAACCGCTGGTCCCACTTCTCATAAAATGAGAACCATTACGTAAGTAGTGGGAACCAGTGCTTCTACCCCACTGCAACTCCTGTAACTCCGATCCGTAATCCTCCGTACTGCTTGCCATGCCTGATGCTCTTTCGGTCACTCACACTCACACCTGCAAAGAAAATTTGTCCTACTTTAGTGAAAAGATGAGAATACCAAATTTACACTCACGTCTTTTAGATGATGTGCAGAAACAGAAAGAATAGGAATGTATAATAGAGAACAATTTTTATTGATAACTGATACTCTTTGGGCTCAAGTGAGGTCACAAGTCCAGTTACGTGACAGCTATTTACGCTCTGACTCGACAAGAAAGAGAGCGAGGCAAGCACTTCTCAATAATGCTCTCGATATGTAATATTTTATCTTCGAGAGCCTTGCAGAGAAAAAATGTGCCCTCGCCGCACTTCTCAATCAATATTTTTATGCCTCGTTTTTGATTTATTAGTTGTATTGCAAAATTTTTATGAGACTTGCTTCAATTTATTATTTTAAATCAATCTTAACATGTGTGCCACTTTATTGAAAAGTTGCCTTGTGCGAGCGCAGTGTAAACGTATTCCAGAGACGTTTATTTTTATAGCAAAAAGTGTTTCAAAATTTTAAGAAAACAGAAATTGTTTCTTATAAAAAATGGAATATTCTTTCTAATGTTTCTTTGTAGTTTTACTTATTAAAAATTTCAGAAAACATTGATATTAGAAAGAAGAAGAAGAGCTATGTGTTGATTTATAACGAAAAAATCTGTAACGATATACAGAACAGAAAAGTACAAGTTCCAAGGCTAGTTAACAATAGAACATAGCAAAAATGTTTCAGAAGATGTTACATTGTTACACAAACATTTAGAACAACAATAATGAAAATACCGGAAAGATTATTGTGTTTTAAGGCTTAGGCCAAAGAATCAAAATACCGGAAAGATGTTATAACAGACTTACAAAAACTTACCTACTCTCTAAATCTGAAACAGCGATAAGTATACAACTGATTCCAATTAGCGTATATACGCTGTGAATTAGTGAAATTTCGCTAAAAACTCAGTGAAATTTCACTAATTAATTAGCGTATATACGCTTTTTGGAATTAGTTGTATACTTATCGCTGTGAAACAGTGAAATTTCGCTTATTCAAATTTAGAGAGTACAGAATTTTTTTTAGTAGCAGTAACAATTTTACTACTAAATTCTACAACCAATTTACAAAAGATGTTCGACATTATGATACACATTACCATCATTTAACCAATACAGAACAAATTACTATAATAGGATGCTGAAAATGGGATCCAAATGGAGAAACAAAAGGACAAAAAAAATATACTGTAATTCATTTTACAAAATTCTTAATTCTAATTTCTTAGCTAATTTAAAAAAGATATTCCATTTGGAAAACGCAAAGGTAAAAAGATTGTGCAACAGATCCAAAAGTATAGCTACACAATAATTGTTCTTCGGAAGCAATAATTTAGAAAGCGGAAATAACAATTTTATTAAAATGATTTAAAAAACTATAATTTCAGAAGATATTATGCAGAACGAGTTACTAACATGTCATCTAACTAGGATGTCCAAAAATACCATCCTCTTAAAGTAACAAAAACATTCAGTGATGGTAAAATTAGAAAAACTTTTAGAACATTGTTCATTATTAACAGTACTACTAAAAATTTTATAGTAACAATTGCGGACCAATTACTGACAAAAATATAACCAGTCCGAGTCAAATAAGAGAACATTTTACTTAAAACTAGAAATTAAATTTTTCATAACTATAAAACATGAAGAAATCGATAACTCCGAGTCTTCGAAAACTCGAAGACTCGGAGTTATCGATTTCTTCATGTTTTATGATAATTAAAGATGACAGAGTGATAAAATCATTATCAATTTAATTATTATTTTCAAGAATTTTCAACTAAAATTTTTCTTTAAATCGATTATTTTCAATAATTTTCGAAAAAGTTCTTTGACAATTTTCTAATCCATTTGTTAACAATAGGTATTTAATTTTACAAAATTTCAATTATTCGTAAATTCTTCAATTAAATAAATATTAGAAAATAAAAGCTAAATAATATTTAAAAAAAATTCAACTAAACTTTTCCAAAAAAATTAATTTCAAAATTCGATTATCTCTGAAAGTTTACGCTATATTGCTTTTATTATTCAATTATTATCTAAAATTTTAACTGAAATTCATTTTTATGAAATGAAAATCAATTTTTATTAGAAAATTCTACAAGAATTCAATTATTTAAATACAAAAATAAATAATTTATTGAATAATTGAATGTTTCTTAAAAATCAATTCTCATAAAGAGTTTTATCAACAAATTTTTAAAGAATTGAATTCTTTTGACGAATTTTATAATTTATGAAAATAATTGAATCCCTAAGAAGAATTTGATTATTTTAGAACAATATTTAATTTTTGCGAAGAATATTGTTATACTCCTGAAAATAATTGAATTTCTGCAATAATTTGTAATTTTTCTAAAATTAAATTTTTTTTTCGTGTTTTTAACTAAAATTTTTCTGTAAATGCATTATTTTTAATAAATTTTTGAAAAAGTTCTTTAAGAATTTCCAAATTAATTTGCGTTTATAATTCAATTTTACAAAATATCAATTATTCGGAAGATATTAGAAAATAAAAACTTCAAATAATTTTTTAAAAAAATCCGCAATTAAACTTACTAAAAAAAAAAAAATTCACAGAATTTTTAGTTTAAAATATGAAAAATCCAGACTTTGAAATATTTTTATTTGAAACCTTTTCAAAATTCAATCGTTTCTTAAAAATTACGCTCTAATGCTTTTAATATTCAATTATAATCTAAAATTTTAATTGAAATCCATTTTTACATCAATTTTTATTAGAAAATTTTACTAGAATTCAATTATTTAAATACAAAAAAGAAATTTAATGAATAATTGCATGTTTCTTAAAATTTAATTCTCATATAGAATGTTAACAATAAATTTTTAAATAATTGAATTCTTTTGACGAATTTTAATATAATTTTTAAGAGTAATTACATTTTTTGAGGAATTCGATTAATATTATATTAAAAATAAGTGAATGAGTTTTATTATTTATGAAAATAATTGATTTCCTAAAAAGAATTTTATTTTTTACGAAAATAATTGAATACCTGTAAAAATATTATTATTTACGAAAATAATTGAAATTTTGCCAAAAATTTTATTAAAATTTTTGAAAATAGTTGCATTTTGGAAAAGAATTTAATTATGTCTAAAGATTATTGAAATTTTGAAGAGTATTTTTATAAAAATTTTGGAACATAGTTGAATTTCTGCGAATTATTTTGAAAATAATTGAATTTCTGCAATCATTTGTAATTTCTATAAAATTCTCCAAATTATATCGTTCAATTTACAAAATTTTCGTCTTTTCTCAATCAAATTACGGACTTTACGGACCTTTTTTCAAAAAAACTGACTTTCAACTTTTTTCACAAACAAAAAAATCATTTCGAAAACTGAGATAAAAAAAATACTCGTGTTTGGCCGTTTTGATAGATATAAATGAAAAGATATAGAAGCAGTTACTGAATATTTTATGTTACTAACAGATCCTTAACATTATTTTCTAAATACAAAAACAGCATATCGAAAAGATTCAAGAACAAAACTAGAAAAATATCTAAAAATTTGTTTCCTGCATCAGTACTCTAAAATGCTCCACTAACAATTTTACTTCCAAATTCTAAAATTAATTTAATTCACTTGTTTTGAGAAAATAGATCGAACATAGAGAAGTTACATAGAACAAGTTTTAGGGGATTAAACTAAAACACAGTTTTGGAACTATTCCGTAAGAAAATCACGTCAACTGTTCTACGATGCCGTCCTCTTTAGGATCTAAAACATTTTTGTCATGCATACACAGGAAATCCCCAATAATGTTCTGGAAATATTATCAAAAAGAATATTAGCAGAACTATACAGTGACACAGTTGAGGATTTATATTTTCAGGAAAAATTCTTTTATACGTATCCATTAATTGTGGTAGAAACAGAAACCTTTGTAATGCTAAGAAGTGAATTATTAATATTCAAATTTCAAACTTCTGTACAGGATTGTATTAAAAATTCAACACAAGTATCTCATCGTCTCATAGCATAACAAAAGATTTTGATATTCTCACCAAATCCAAAAGTATGCAAAAACAAACATTTCTATCAAATCCTCTAGTTCTAATGATTATGTTTCCAAATTATTCACAAAACTCTTTGAAATTCGCGATTCAAAATTCTAAAAATTGTTTGTATTGATGCAGAGAACAAAAAATCTCTCTCTTTTGTCAAAAAATTTGTTTAACACCGAAATTGAAGTTAATATAATTTTATTAGCATCATCATCTGTATTAGAAAAAAATAGTAAAACTGCTCCATTTCAGAAATACTTTTCAACTTTCGTTGAGTGAAGTTCGCATTTAAGAATGAGAAATTACTGAATGGATTCGAAAGTACTTGACCCTTAATCGAAGGATATCTGGGTACATTGAACACGTGTAAAAGCTGATAGATATGATCTTTCCTACAACTGCATGAGTTCTGAAATGCAAGTGAAATTTGAATAAAGATGACTTTCCGTCAGTTGGTCTTTACGTCGGCATGGTTTGCGTGTCGAGCATGGGTTCAATGTGTTCTAGGAAGTGCCTTACTTGATATTTAAATATCTCACTTAGCAAAGTAGTTCACTTTACTTTTCCTTTAGCGAAAAATGACGTATGCACATACTCACTCTTGGGTACTTAACATCCCGCTTGTATAAAATCTGTTTAATTATATAAAAATATATCTCTAGTTTGAATTCCCTTTAAAAAAAAGGGAAATAAATATTGAAAACCACCACCAAGCATTTTTGCCATGTGGATAAAAAATTCAAGTGAACTAATTGCGTCCAAGTAGGAAAGAATATTTAATTTGAAAACGAAATGAAAATATAATTCTTTTAAATTTAAATATATAGAGTATACACATATATATTTGTTCATGTATAGCTCAATTCCAGTCATGTGTTCATATGTAAATTTTGTTGAGCACTCTTCGTTCCAGGGTTTACCAGTAAAAGCGTTTTCAG